CCCCCCCCCCACCCCACACCCCGCTCTGCTTTCGCTGTAATTTCCTCAGGAACTGCGTGAGCTCCAGAGCCAGATCAAGGACACTTCAGTCATCGTGGAAATGGACAACAGCCGTAACCTGGACATGGACTCCATTGTGGCTGAAGTCAAGGCCCAGTATGAGGACATCGCCAACCGCACCCGCGCAGAGGCAGAGACGTGGTACAAGACCAAGGTAGTGGACGAGTCTTTTGAAGTGTGCTGCACGCTCACCAAACTTTGTTCTAGTCTGTAATGTTTTCTTTTGTTGACACTGTAGTATGAAGAGATGCAGACGTCCGCCAACAGATATGGAGATGACTTGAGGGCGACCAGAACAGAGATCGCAGACCTGAACCGCATGATCCAGAGACTGACGTCAGAGATCGACGCCATCAAGGGACAGGTATGGAAAAGACGTTTGCCAAATCTATTTCACAGCAAATTTTGTGGATCGAAACTCATTAAAAAAAAACAATCTTTTAGCGCGCTAACCTGGAGGCGCAGATCGCTGAGGCCGAGGAGCGCGGCGAGCTGGCGGTGAAGGACGCCAAGTCCCGCATCAAGGAGCTGGAAGATGCCCTGCAGAGAGCCAAACAGGACATGGCCCGACAGATCAGAGAGTACCAGGACCTGATGAACGTCAAGCTGGCTCTCGACATTGAGATCGCCACCTACAGAAAACTGCTGGAAGGAGAGGAGGACAGGCTGGCGAACGGCATCAAGGCCATCAACATTTCCCAACAGAGCAGTAAGTCCCCGTTTGTTCAGGACGCTGGTTCGAATCCCAGTAGATTTGTTTAAAGTGCTTGTGACATGCCTATCCTTCAAATACAAAAAGTGAAAGAAAGCCTCTTTATACTTAAGAAAATTGTCATTGTACACATGATTTTACCCATTTTGTCACATAACCGGCCTATTTTCTTTTGAATTTGGCTCAGCCAAAGTGAAACAGGAAGTGACATCAAAGGGGAACTCATTAATATTTTTATTAAAACAAAATTATTTAAGCTTTAACTCTTGTCTCTCTTTGATAGCAACTAAAAACAATCTAAAAAACATCAAATTCTTCATTAGTCTGTGTTGTTAGCTTTTGTAAAAACGCTCTGTTTACAGTCAGACATTCCCCTTTGACATCACTTCTTGTTTCTTCACATGCGAACATCTCAACAACCGTTCATCTCAGCGACGTGAAATTTGTTTTGCAACATGCTATCAAAGTTATCTTTCCAAAAATGCATTCATGTTTATTACAAAAATTTGACATCACGAGCACCTTAATTTAATTACATTTTTTTTTTTTAACCTCAACAGCAAGTTACAGCGGCTTCCCCATGGACAGTATGAAGAGCAGCTACTCGAGCAACTACTCCAGCGGCTACAGCAGCGGCTACGGCAGCGGCGCCGGAGGCTACGGCAGCGGCGCCGGCGGCTACAGCAGCGGCTTCAGCAGCGGCAGCGGCACCAGCGGTTACAGCACCACCCAGAGCAAGAAGAACGTCGTCATCAAGATGATCGAGACCAAGGACGGCAGAGTGGTGTCCGAGTCCTCCGAGGTCATCGAGGATTGAAGCGTCTAGGCGCAGCTACCCGTCCGCTACGATGCTCCTCTTCCTCTCTGGTAGTTTTTTATACTCACAGCTCACCCAACCTCAACTATCGTAATAAACAAGTCTGAAGTTTAAAAAAAAATGCTTTCCAAACACTCTCCGATAGAGCACGAACGTGTTTTTTCATGAAGCAATAAACGATCCTAACACTACCAAAGATCTGAACGGGACCAAAGAACTTACTCTGTATGTCCAATGTCTGAAGGATTTTACTAAAAGAAGTTAAAAAGTGAGTTTAGAACTTGGAAAATAGAAGGAAAAAAAACAGAATATAGCACACTCCCATGAAGTCTAAACAACTGTCAATCCGTATATGAAGGGTCAGAGTGTTGCATGAAATGGACAGTGACCATGTAAAAAAATATAAGGAATGTGAATGTAATGAAAATGAGCTCCAGTGTTGTTGGATAACTAATGTTCTAAAGTTACCTGCTACAGTAGGTAGTGCATGTCTTCCCTGTGTGTGTCCTTTAACTGAAATTGATTTTGGCCCCCCTATGTGTCACACCGTTGTCCCGAGGTGCTGTTTTTGCTACCAAACTGAATAAAAATGTGTTTACTGAATGAAAGAGGATGCGTTGGTTTTCATTTGAATTAAACAGGTGGTCGAGAAATTATAACAAAAATAAATTTACTTGGATGTTAAAATTTGAAAGGTGATATACAAAGATGTCCAAGATGTAATAAAATATTTAAATATGTATAAAATAAACATAAACAGTACTGTCTACAAGCTATTACACATCCAGTTTTTGCTTGATCTATTACAAAGAAAGTGTTATTTATTGATTAGTTTTTTTTATCAAATTATGCATTTCTTTTTTGATTTGTAGGGTTGATCCAGGGCCAGGATTATTCTTTGCCTTAATGTATGTAAATTAAACCTGTTAACTCTTTCTGAGAATAAATTTGTTGTGAATAATTTCAATTTAAGTGAAGAGAAACAGAACATTGAGATGAATATAATGAGTAGATATGCTGCTTTAGTTTCATAGATGAATATAATAATTTGTTTTAATTATCAGTTATTAATCAGCCAAAGGCTGT